GGGGCTGGCTGGCATGTGGTGCTGGGGGATTGAACCGCGGTCCCTTTGCTTTGTTAAGCTTGTTCTAAGTAGGTGCTTTAGACCACTGAGCCATCTCACCAGCCCTCCAGTGTGTTTTAAATACCTTTTTTGTCCCTTTCCACCTAGGGAGTGATTTATCTAAAGAGCTGCTGGTTACTTATATAATATATAAAATATTAACTTTGCATCTTATTTATTTATAATTGTGGTAGAACATTGTACTTACCATCCCAACCAATTTAAAATATCCAATTTAGTAGTGCTTAGTGACTGTTGAATAACAACATATCTTTAGAACTCTTTGTCTTCTAATACCGAAACCATGTAAACCGTGAAATAGCAACTTCCTTATTTATCTCTTCTCCCCCAGTTTCTTGAAACAACAGTTCTCCTTTCTGTCTGAATTTAACTACTTTAGATGCCTCATATAAGTGGAATCATGCAGTACAAACCTTTTTGTGACTGCTTTATTTCACTTAGCATAATGTCCTGGTTTACATCGTGGCATGTGACAGGATGTCCTTTTTAAAGACTGAATAATATTCTATTGCATGTATCCATTTTCTTTTTTTATTGGTACTTTTTAAATATACATAATGATAACATTCATCATAGGGAATTTATATCTATACATGATTTTTTTTTTTTTTTTTTTTTTTTTTTTTTTTTTTGTGGAACTGGGGATTGAACTCAGGCCCTTGCATTTGCCAGGGAAGCGTTTATTCCACTGAGCGATCTCCCCGGCCCCTACATGATATATTTTGATTTTTCTGTTTTCCTATTTTCTCCTCTCCCTTCAACCCCTCTTTCCTTCCTTATTTACAAAAGCTTTGTTTCTATTTTTCCTTTTCTTTCTTGTCCCTTCCTTCCTTTTTCCCTCTGCCTCTCTTGTTCCCATTTTCTTTATTCATTCATGGGTGGATATTTGGCTTACCTATATCTCTTGGCTATTACGAATGATGTTGCTATGAATGCAGTTGTGCAGATATCTCTGTGACCCTGTTTTGAATTCTTTTGGATCCCAGAAATGGGATAACTTTGTGTCCATTCTCAATATAAACAGTATTCTGTAAGTCAGTTAAAGAACTGAAAAAGAAAACCTTAATTTTGGATTAAAAATCCAATATTTGAAAGCAAGAAAAAAATTCAAATTGGTTTTTAGAGTTTTGAAAGAATTTCACTGTGTAGTTCAGACTGGCCCAGAACTTACTGAGTAGTCCAGGCCATCCTCGAATTGATGGTGATCCTTCTACGTTAGCCTCCCAAGTGCTGAGATTACAGGCGAGTGCCATCATGCCTGGCTACTCAGACCATTTTGAATATTTTCCTAGAACAAAATATTTCATAGTGATAATTTAAGAACCCAGCCCATTTAAAATTGCAGTAATACACTTTATTGTGATTTTGCAGTAATTCTGCATTTATAACATTTCAAAATGAAAACAAATGAATTGACAAATAATGTTTTGTTTTTGTATCAGTCACTGATTTCTATTTTTGATTCTGTATTTTTGCATTTGGGAATAGTAAGTCTTCTCAGGTTATAGCACTTAAAAATTGTAATAGATTATTTAGAGTTATTTTTATTACCTTTGAAATGAAATACTAATTTGGAAGTTTATTTTTGAGAAATACTACTTTTTTATGTGTTTAGTAATTTAGTTCAATGTCTACAGCGTCTCTCTACACAGATTGGACTCGCAGTGATTCTCCTGTTTCTCAGCCTCCCAAGTTCAGGGTTTATAGGCAGGCGCCACCACACCCAGTCTCAGTTGCTGTCTCAGTGCACCCTGGGGGTGGGGCTGGCACAGCATGCTGGAGATTGAATCCTGGTCCCTGTGCCTGCCTAAGCAGGTACTTTAGTCTGCTGAGCTATCTGGCCAGCCCGAGAAGTATTACTTTAAGAAAAATGTCTTTGTGATGTTTCAGATGTGACTTGCATGGTGTACCTGCTTCTGCTAGTGAGTATTTCTGCTTTTGTTTGCAACATTTTGCAGATTTAAGGCAAGAACTAGCAGTTCGGGAAAGACAACAGGAAGTGACCCGAAAGTCGGCTCCCAGTTCTCCGACTCTGGACTGTGAGAAGATGGATTCTGCTGTCCAGGCCTCGCTCTCCTTGCCGGCTACTCCTGTTGGCAAAGGAACAGAAAACAGTTTTCCTTCTCCGAAAGGTTTGTTTTGGTTTGTTGGTGAAGTAGGAATTGTTCAGGCTTATATAGTAATTGGCAGCTTACAGGTTGGCTGACTGGTAAGGGAAGGAGAAGGAGGAAATAATAGGAAACAAGAAGGTAAGGGCTACCTTTAAGATCTACTTAGTAAATTGTTTTTAAGAGTGAAAAGTTTTTCTGTGTATGGTAATTAACTTTATGATGACTTATAAATAAATGAGTCTGATGCTGACCAGAAAACGGGGCAGATAAAGAGGGAGGGAAACAACCTGAACTATGATGTTATATACATGTGTCAATTCCTCACGGTGAATGCAATCATTACATACCACAAACATTATACTAATAAAAATGTTAAGAAAAACATTGCTGCTGTCCAAAAAAAAAAGTTAAAAGGGTTTTAAGGAAAATTCATTTTTTCTTACGGCAATAATATATTCATGCAGAGCTTTTATTTTGTGGTGTTGGGGATTGAACCTAGGGCCTTGGATATGCTAAGCAAGGGCTTAGTCACTGAGCTACCCACTCAGCCCCATGTAGAAAAGATACAAAAACTTTAAACAAACAGAAAGAGAAAAAAAAAAAAATCCATCTGTAATCTTATCACATAAAGACAACTGTCCTTAACATTTTGTGTTTTTTTTCCTGCTGTATGTGCTTGAGTGTGTTTGTGTACACCTCTGTGTCACACAGGCTTTGGGCTCATACTTAAGTACTTTTTTTTTTTTTTTTTTTTTTGCTTTTGCCACTTATTGTATCATGAAAAACTAGAGGACTTTGCTCACAAATATGCACAGAATAATCTTCGTGTTGCCAGTCAGGTGCATCTAAACTTGGTTCAGATAGGCACATTCTGTTACATGTTTCAGGAGCTGCTATCATCAGAGTTAATGTTCAAGGTGATTGATGAGTGGTACATTGGGGAGATTCCTTTTGTCATCAACTATGATTTATTTATTCCAGATAGGGAGACAAGCTGCTTTGTAGACACTAGGTAAAACCTTAGGATGCATTCCTAAAGATCTTTGAGTCATATTTTTAAATTTTTTTTCGCAGTTTGCAGATTGTATCTCAGCTTTTCCCATTCCCTGAAGTTTATCCCAAATTTAAGCTATCTGCTCTCCTGCCCAGTTTCAAAATACAGGGTTTTATCTTTTAGAGTGATATGAGATGGTCTGCTGTTGTGCAGTTAATACAGTAAGCTCTCTGTGCTGCTCAGTGCAGTAGCCACCGGCCACATGTTACTGTTTATGTTACATTAATATAAATGTAATAGATGTTAAAGTTCTGGTTTTACTTTGTGGGCAAGAATAGTCAAGAAAAATTTGAAATAGGCTAATAATTAGCCAGGAGTGGTACCATATACATGTAAGCTCTGGAGCCGGGGAGACTGAGACAGGAGGATCACAAGTTTGATCCCAGCCCGAAAAAGTAGTGAACTAGTGACACCCTATCTCAGAATATGAAAGAGTCAGTAATATAACTCCTCAATGCAAAGTCTCTGAGTTCAATTCTAAGTGCTGCCAGAAAAAAAAAGAAAAAAGGCTAGTGAGGGTCTTGCATTTGAAATAGCAAGCATACTGGTGTATATTAACATGGTTCTGTTTATGTATCAATTGATATATTAGATGGTACCTATTATATGTACATTTTTTTTTTGAGTAGCTTTATAAAGATGATTAAAGTGGTATACTTCTGGTAGACTATATTTAGAGACTAAGGAATTCAACGTATAATTATAGTGCCATTTCACATGAGGACTATATGCTGCCTGTTGGAAGTTTAGTGGTATTAGGACAGTTGGCTGTCCATTGGAAGAAAGTTAAATCATACCCTATTTCTTAGGTAACTGTACATTGAAGATACATTAAATTAGCTAATCTTTTGGGGATAGTATAGTGCTGGGGATGAAACCCAGGGCCCCACCCAACCTACTCAATGTTAAAAGAAAATCTAAATATAAAAATGTAGAAAAATAGGAGAAAATGTTGTGAGCAATAGTGAATTGAGGAAGCCAAATATTCCCCCAAGGACACAAAGTTTGAAGGAAATGTTACACAGTGTATATATGGCATATTTGAGTGAGAGGGTGAATATCTATAATTTGCTCTTACAGATTGGTAAAAACAGCCAAGTACAGAAAAGTACAAAGAATAAACACAATTTCCAGAAGAGGAGCTTTAAATGCCTCCTTATTGTGGAAATAAAAATTTAAAACAGCATGACTATCAGATTGCCAAAAAAAGATGACATCTAATGATATTGAGGACACCACTATGCTGATTGCTGATCATGCCACAACTTTTTCGTGGACCAACTTTTTCGTTGTTGCCTTTTATTAGGGTGGAAAAAAAGGACATCTTTCTAACCTAATAGTTTTAGTTTTTGAAATTTCTTCTCTAGAAATACTTAACTAGATGTTTAATGATAAATGTCCTTGTAGCATTATTTGTAATAATGAAAAGTTTGTATAGTTTAAATTATCAACTGGCAAATGGTTTGTTAAACCTGTTTATGACATCTCTATAGTTTGAAATGGTATATTGACTTTTTGAGTGTAGCCTGCTTTGTAATATCAAGAGTAAAACCAAATGTAAAAGGTACTGTCAATGTCATCACTCTCCTTTTCTTTTTCTCTAGCTATACCAAATGGTTTTGGAACCAGTCCACTAACTCCTTCAGCTAGGATATCAGCACTAAACATTGTGGGGGATCTCTTACGGAAAGTAGGGGTAAGCATTCGTCTATTATCACTAGGCATTTTTACTGACAGGGTAGTATTAAATTGTTTCTTAATTTGAAGTGAGGGAAGAAAAATGGATACGTTCCTGTAGTAAAATCTGTAATAAAGCTAGAAGCAAAAGCGTCTAGTAACTAGCAGAGACTAGTCCAGACAGACACCTCAGTGTTGGGCTTCCAGCACTTTTGCAGAAGGGCCTGAGCTCTCAGGTTACCACTTGGCATTTTTCCTGTCTCCCCATTGCTGTGTCTGCAGCTCTGTGCTCTTACCTTTGTGTGAACTGCTTCCTAAGGCCTGCTGTGTTATCTTTGACCATCCTCTAATAATATTTTTTGCCCTGACTTTATCCTTGTTGTTGCCTTTTATTTTGTGGAATGTTAACACTTGGCTTGTGGTATTACTTAGTACCACACTCTGTTTCAGTTTTACTGTTCTTGTGTCCTCTCAATGTGCATTACAGGCTAGTTTGGTTCTTGCAGAAATTTTTTTTTGGATATGTATGGTCTGACTATGTTACTCTTGTGTTCAAATGATCTTCTGCCTAAGTCTACTAGGGTAGTTGGGACTATTGGCACTTACTACCACACCTGGCTTTTTAGTTTTTTACTTTAATTCCTACTTTTTGACCTTATTGAGAGTAGTACTCTGCCATCCCTTGCTTTTACTTCCTTCCTGTTCCTCTGTGAACCTTCAGATCACTTACTTCATGTGATGCTGTTGACTTCATATTCTTTTGGTAGAGGAGACTTGCAATCTGGAAGAGCCAAACAGTTGGATTACTTGAAGCAGTTATAGATTTACATCATTACTATGTAGGTAGCAGTTTTGGCTTTAGCTGTCTTTCCCATTTCCCTCATTTTATTTTATTTTTATTTTTCAGCAGTTGACCCTTGTAGCTTCCCACCATGCACTACATCGCTGACCTTTTTTTCTTCTTTTGAGATCATCTCGCTATATAGTTCAGCCTAACTTTTAAAAATTTATGTATTTGGTACAGGGTCTCACTACGCAGCTTGGACTCGTAGTGATCCTCCAGTTTTCAGCCTCCTCAGTGCTGGGATTACAGGCGTGTGCCACCGCCTGGACTTGGTTGCCAGCTCAGTGTGTCTGGGGGTGGATCCAGCGTGGCATGTGGTGCTGGGGTTCAACCCTGGTACCTGAGTTTGCCTGAGTAAGCACTTAGTCTGCGGAGCTGTCTCCCCAGCTCTCAGCATAACTTTGAATTCACTGTGTAGCCCAAACTGACCTTGAATTCATAGTGATCCTTTGCCTCAGTTTTCCCAGTGCTAGGATTACAAGCATATAAGCCACCAAGCCTGCTTCCCATCACTTTTGTGTGAAACACTTTGTGAAAAAAGTAGAAACTGTATTATACTTTGTTTATTAAAGGAGAAATGGAAAACCATGACACAGAGTCTTATGTTGTCCTTTCTGGCTCATAAAATGGATCATTTTCTATTTAATCAGGTTTGCTCTAGCTCCTCATTTGACAGTTACTAGAAAAAATAATTGCATAAATCACTATGCAACACTACAATAATCTTTCCTCACTCCCAAGATAATCACTTAAAAAAAAAAAAACCTACTTATTTTAAGAGTTATATTTATCTTTGTAATTTAAAATAATGTGCTTATTTTTCTTTAATCAACTTTAAGCAAAAAGGAGATACAAAATTTAACCCACCTTCTCCAAATTTGATTTTATTTTTTGTTGGTTATTTAAAAAAATTTTAAGTAACTTTTTTTGTTGTTATTATTCATTGGCACTGGGAATTTAACCCAGGATCTTATGCATGTTAAACATACAATTTACCTTGAATGATATCCCTAGGCCTGAATAACTTTTTTTTTAACGGTCCTGGGGACTTGCACTTAACAGGAAGGTGCTTATGCCACTAGCTATATCCCCAGGCCCTTAAGTAACTATTGCATTTTTCTGTTTTGGAATTTGTTAAACTGTACCTCAATACCCCCACTTGCTCCCTTTGTTACTTGCTGTCCCACTTTTCCTTTTTGAATTCTGTTGGTTGTGGGTTCCCAATTGGTTGATTCTAAAAATTAAAAAAATGGTCAAATAGCCTTTCCAGAGTGGTGCCCATGTGTATTATTTACTGTATAATCATGGCAGGAACTAGGCTGTCTATATTTGTGCTACTTAACAAATATTTTTAACATTTTATTCCTTGATTATCATTTATTCAAAATGATATATTTATAATTATGATCCTTTTTCCTAGCATTTTGAATTACTTTTCCTTCTTATGGTAGAAGAAACAAACTTTGTGACATCTCATTTCTTCTAGCTTCACATTTATGCTCTTTGGGCATAACTGATTGGCTTGTATTGCTGTGTGGCACCATAGTCAGCCTTGAGTTTATTATACTCTGGTTATTTTCCTATCCCCACCTTTATGTTATGTTTTGTTTGTTCTGCTTCAGAACTATAAGTAATTGATTAGAAGCAGTGATGAAAGTTTAATTTGTAGCTTTCACATTGTTTACCCATTCAGTTAAGTCTTCTAAGAGGTCACCAAAACTTTACGCTGTTATCCATCAACTCCTATATATTTCCATGCATATTTCACAATTCTTTGTGAAACAGTTGTGTATATAACTCTGTCCACTGACTTGAACAAGGAGCTCCTTCCCTACTCTTGTATCCTCTTCACAGAGAAAACCAAAGTTTATGATTTAAACTTATTTGAATTCTTCTCTCCCGTTACTTCCTTCCTATTATCTCTGTGGCCATTATTCCTTTTTGTCTCAGTGGTAAAAGTGTCAGATTCCTGCTCATGACTAATTTTGTGTCTCTGTGCTTTGGATTCCAGTCCTTCCCACTGTCTTATCTTTATTTCTTTATGTGTGTTAATACTTTCTTCTTACATAGTACTTATCCATATACTGTATACCCTATATGTAATGTTTTTATGTTATGTATTACCCCCCCTCTGTGGGATCAAACCCAGGGCACCCTGTGTGCTAAGCATGTGCTTTGCTACTGAGCTACACTCCTACCCTTACATATTTTTTTTAATTTTAAAAAGCAAAAATGAAACTGCTGTTATTTTTATGCTGCATCCATCTCTCCTTCACCATTACCCTTCTCTCTTCTCTTCACACTTAAGCTTTTTGAAAATATATCTGCATTGTTAGCATTGCACTAAAACTACTCACCATGATCTCTATGCTATCAAATCCAGTGTATGTGGTTCTAATTTTATTTGAAACATTCAACACTGACACCCTCCTCCCCCATGTCCTCTGTCCTGTGCTTCCCTGCTCTTCTGAGGTTGTTCCCACCTGTCTTCAGTCTCTGTCTCTCTGTCTCTCTCTGTCTCTCTCT